TACAATATTATCTATAGATACAGTATTTCTAAAGGTAGCTTCAATAATAGATCCATTACAAATCATTTCACAGGGGATTTCAATAATATCCATTCCTAAATGAAAACTGCTATCAAGTTTGCCATCTCCAAGTTTTACTAACCATTCACTATAAGTAGAATCCTCTGATCTCATGTTTGTTGTAAGAGACAACTTTCTGAAACATCCCCAAACATTGCAGTACTTTAAACTCATTTTTATTATGGCCGATCCCATAGCATGCGGTACAATACTGAGACATTGTCAAAAATCCCCTCTAAGAAGGAGAACTTTCCCAACAAATACAACATCCAGACTCATAATTTCTCTTAGTAATCTGTCTATGGTGTTTATAGCATGACTGGATGCCATGGTGCATTCATCAATAATGGGAAGTTGGGCCTTTTTAATAATTTTAGCAACTTCACTCTTTATATCAAATCTAGAAATTGAAGTTTCATTTAATGGAATCGGTAATTTATATTGGGAATGAAAGGTCCTTCCACTGGGAAGTAAATTTGCAGCAATTTCTGTAGATGCTATGGGTAAAACAGTACCACCACGACCTCTAATATAATGTATTAAAACTTCATACAGATATGCAGGTGAATAGGATTCCTAGCTGGCAGGCCCCTGACAGCAAGCTGGCCACCTATCGATTGGCTCTTTCCTGTCAGGGTCCAGGGTGCAGGTGAATGGGGTTTCTGGCTGGCAGGCCACTGACAACAAGCTATCCAACAGCAGATTCTGTGAGGAATGGGGCTGCCTCCTCCCTACTGTCAGGGTCTGGTTTGAAGGCTGGCCACGCCCCCTGTTGGGCCAGACCCATAGTTCTACCACACTGTGGCCTCCACCTCAGCAACCTAGGATTGACTGCTGCTGGGCGCTCCTGGCACTCTGAGGGTGGATTCTTCCCTCAGACCTCACAGGAAACAGCTCAGGGAGGGCACAGCCTTTGGCAAGGCAACCCAGGACTCAGTTCTTCCACTCTCTACTCCAAGGGCGGGTTCCTGCCTGAAACCTCACCCTGAGGGTGGGTTCCTGCCTGAAAGCTCACCCTCCAGGAAACAGCTGGGGGAAGGTACAACCATTTCCAAGACAACACCTGCAGGACTGACTTCCTTCCAGTTGGTGGTGATGTTATACCCAGTTTTTTTATATAAGTAAATATTGATCTCTCAGAATGAGAAACAATAAAAACAGCCTCATTTACCATTGCAACAAAAAATTACCATACTTAGGATTAAACTTAACCAAGGAGATAAAGCACCTTTACTTGGAATTTATAGTACATTGATAAAGGGATAAAGGAAGATATAAACAAGTGGAAGAATGTACATGGATTGGTAGAAACGACATCATTAAAATGTCCATATTCCCCAAAGCAATCTGTAGATTCAATGCAATCCCTATTAAAATACCAACAACATATTCCACAGATCTAGAACAAACACTGCAAAAATGTATATGAAACCAAGAAAGACCCCCAAAAACCTCATAAATCCTGAGAAAGAAGAACAATTTTGGAGGAATAAATATCACATTATACTACAAAACTATGGTACTCAAAAACGCCTAGTACTGGCACAAGAACAAGCATATCAATCAATGGAATAGAACAGAGAACTCAGGAATCACCCCAAACTATTATGTTCAATTAATATTTGACAAAGGAGGCAAAGTATACAATAGAATAAAGATAGTCTCTTCAATAAATGGTGTTAGGAAAATTTGAGAAGTACATGCAAAAAAAAAATGAAACTGGACCACCAACTTAACACTATAAACAATAATAAATTCCACATGCATAAAAGACTTAAATATAAGTCATGAAACCATAAAAGTCTTAGAAGAAACCATAGGCAGAAAAATCTCAAATATCTCTGGAAGCAATATGTTTACTGATGTAACAAAGAAAAATCAACCAAAAAAATGAGTCCGCGTGTCACCTCTGACACGCGTGTCATAGGTTCACCATCACTGGTTCTAGGGTAAAGGAAACTAAAAAGAAAATAAACAAATGGGACTGTATTAAAATAAAAAGCTTCTGCACAGCAAAAGAAACCAACAACAAAACGACATATTTGCTAATGGTACAGCCAATAAGGGGTGAATTTTCAAAATATATAAGGAACCCATACAACTTAAAAAATGGAAGACAAATAATCCAATTTAAAAATGGGCAAAAGACCTAAATAGACAATTCTCCAAAGTGGACATACAAAAGACCAAGAGACATATGAAAAAATGCTCAAAATTATCAATTGTCCAAGAGTTGGAATTTAAAAATATAGGGATGTATCACCTCACATCTGTCAGAATGACTATTATCAACAAATCAACAAAAGACAAGTATTGGTGAGGATGTGGAGAAAAGAGAATCCTAATACACTGTTGGTGTGAATGTAGACTGGTGCAGCTACTGGGTAAAATAGTATGGAGTTTCCTCAAAAAAATTAAAAATGAAATCCCCAGTGATCCCACTTCTAGAACATCAATCAGAAAGAATATATGTACCCCTATGTTCATAGCAATTTACAATAGCTAAGATTTGGAAACAGCCAAAGTGTCCATCAGCAGATGGATAGGGAAAAAAGCCATGGTACACAGTGGAATCGTATGCAGCTGTAAAACAGAAAGAATTCTTACCATTTGCAGCAGAATGGATAGACCTGGAGAGTATTATGATCAGCGAAATGAGCCAGTCAGAGAAAAATAAGTATCACATTATCTCACTCATATGTGGAATCTAATGAACAAAATGAACTGATTAAAAAAAATGATCCAGAAACAGAATCATGGAACAGACTGACAAATTTCAGAGGGAAGGTAGGGGTGGGGAATTGGAGGTGAATGATTAATAAGAGAACTTATATGAATATATGCATAGCTCATGGACACAGAAAATAAAGTGGTAAATGCATGGGAGGGGCCTGTGCAGGTTGGAGGAGGTCAATGGGTAAAACAAACATACAAAGAGGATATCTGTGCCCTAGCCAGCTTGGCTCAGTGGATAAAGCACCAGCCTGCAGACTGAAGGGTCCCAGGTTGGATTCTAGCCAAGGACACATGCCTGAGATGCGGGCTTGATCCCCAGTAGGGGGCGTGTAGGAGGCAGCCGATCAATGATTCTCTCTCATCATTGCTGTTTTTATCTCTCTCTCCTCTTTTCCTCTCTGAAATCAATAAATATATATATATTTTTAAAGAAGAGGACATCTGTAATACTTCAACAATAAAGATATATTTTTAAAAAACAAGATTTTGATTCTCTGATTAAAGTCTCCTTTGCTATACAATTAAAGTATAGTTAGTATTTTATATTCTATGCATGTCAATAATAATCATGGTATGCTTTGACATATGTGTCTCCTAATTAGTGATCTCTGATCACATAGTAAAATCTAATACCACTTAATTCTTTTAAAAAATAGAGGTAAAATTATCTTTATTGTATATTTCTGCTCTAAAATTCTGTTGCATTGGGGAATAAATTCTTATTTCAGCTTTGAGTCTCAATAATCTCTTGTGTAAAAATTACACTCATTTTTACCACAAATGGAGCCACAAATAGAACAAATGGAGCCGAGATACCCGCCATATTATACTGTGCTCAAATTCATTATAAGGACTGATGAAGAGCAGAAGATTTCAGAGGGGATGTATAAATATATCGAATTGATTTTCCTGGGACTTCTTAACTATTCAGCTATAAATTCACATTTCAGTAATGTACACCTCCCACAATGAACTCAGATGGCTTGTATACCATGTTTTCCACTGGACATATATTTTTTTAAATTATATCATGATTTTTGCACTATTAGAAAATGAGTTCTGTAGCTATATACTTTGATGTTTGCAATTGCCACAAATGCACTTACTGTTAGGTCTGGCTAAAAGACTCAAGAACACTTAGTGTTTAGTTTATAGTTGCTCAAGAAAACACATGCATTAAACTGTCCAAATCAAAACTGAAGCCAATGAAATTACAGCTATTCCTGAACTAATACTTTGTACTTTTTGTTTAAAAGTATGTATCTCCCAAAATGCTAATGTCTCCCAAAATACTAAAATCTGTTTTTGTTATCTTGGGAGAGATGATAACAGTATGTGTGACCTTGGACAAGTCAATTTTTTATTTATGAAATCAGAAACTTAAACCAGATATCTTTTCCAGATCTAAAATTCTATACCTCTAAAAATGAATGTTTTGGGGGAAGAGCTGAAGCAGGCGCTCCTGGCTCGGCGCGGCCCGCTGCAATCCGTGGAGGAACGCGCCGCCGAGCCACCATCATGCCTGGGCATTTACAGGAAGGCTTCGGCTGCGTGGTCACCAACCGATTCGACCAGTTATTTGACGACGAATCGGACCCTTTCGAGGTGTTGAAGGCAGCAGAGAACAAGAAAAAAGAAGCCGGCGGGGGCGGTGTTGGGGGCCCTGGGGCTAAGAGCGCAGCTCAGGCCGCAGCCCAGAACAACTCCAATGCGGCAGGCAAACAGCTGCGTAAAGAGTCCCAGAAAGAACGCAAGAACCCGCTGCCGTCCAACGCCGGCGTGGCTGACAAGAAAGAAGAGACGCAGCCGCCCGTGGCGCTTAAGAAAGAAGGAATAAGGCGTGTTGGAAGAAGACCTGATCAACAACTTCAGGGTGAAGGGAAAATAATTGATAGGAGACCAGAACGGCGACCACCTCGGGAAAGACGATTTGAAAAGCCACTTGAAGAAAAGGGTGAAGGAGGAGAATTTTCAGTTGATAGACCGATTATTGACCGGCCTATCCGAGGCCGTGGTGGTCTTGGAAGAGGTCGAGGAGGACGTGGACGCGGAATGGGCCGAAGAGATGGATTCGACTCTCGTGGCAAACGTGAATTTGATAGGCATAGTGGAAGTGATAGATCTTCTTTCTCAATTTACA